AGAAAAATTGGCTGTCGAATATACTGATTATCGACTGCAGTATATTCGACAACTTTTTTTGTCGAATATATCTGTCGATTATAGTTTAATCGACAGAAAAGCATTCATATTCGACAGAATCCTCTGTCGAATATACTGCTTTTTCCAGTAGTGGAATGAAAAATATGTATTAGGTCTTATCTGTAAGTTTATTTCTTTTTGATACATTGAAGGGTTATGTGCTAGCCATTATAGATATTGAACTCTTTATTTTGATTATAAATTAAAAAATTTAAATTAATAGATACCATCTCAATTAAATTCTTGTTGAACTTAGTTTTTAAGTATATTCAAAGGCAGGTTCTAAAACTTCTATTTCTATTGAGTAGGTGAAATTGGAGGGAAAAAAATCAATGAGGAAAAAGTTCACATTCTGTTTATTAAATTTAAGGATAATTTTTAAAATAATATTTTTATCTCTTGTTAATAAAAGATTTTTCAAAATATTAGAGAAATGACGGTCCCAAATAAACTAGAGTTCAAACTTTTTTTGTTTAAGCTAAAGTTGTCAACAATCTAAATAATTTAATGGTTATCTTTTTTCGTTGTAGGTAAAAAATCTTGATTTCGAGTCACATGTCACATAGGTGGGATGAGATAAATAATATGAGATGATTGATTTTTATTGTGCAACCAATATAAAAAAATAAAAATAAAATTAAAAGAAGAAGAAGAAGAAGAAGAAGCTAAAGTTCAAACTTAAATTTGTTCAACGAGCCAAACGCAAGCTTACAAAATAGGCTCAAATCAAGCTTAAACTCCAAATATTCAAAAGAGGCAAGTTTCAACTCGATTGTATTTGAATTCAACTGAAGTGATTATGGCTTTGTACCCTCATTTACTGTGTCAAGACAAACATTTTTCTTTTAACTATGCAATGGCATCTTTGTGGTGAGTTGCAAAGTTTCTGTGCCATAAATCATGGTGGCAAGTGGTAGTAGTAACTCTCAAAGTTGAGATTTTTCTAAAGCTTTGAGAGATTTCTTTGTCTTTAAAGGGAGATAGGTGACCCCTCCACCATCATTACTTCCATTTTTCCTTGGTTGTCGTCTTGGAAGATCAGACCATGTCTCCGTCTAAATTCCCTTTTGCACTCAATAGCCCACCATGGATTTTGTACTTCTCCTTGGTCGTGGGTTTCAACTTTCATGCGTGTTGAAGCTTAAAGATCTCCCTTGTATTGCCTTGGAATAAGTCCACAAATGTTGTCGGATCACATTATTTCTCAAAAGAAATTTCTTGCTCATTGAAGACCCCTATTTGGGGGCATCGTCGTCCGTCTAATTCCTTACCTATATTTACGGAATTGAAATTAGATCAATAAAAAACTGTGACTAAAACTGTTGAATGGACAAATCCCTTAATATTGGGGACTGTCTTTTAATTCAACAATTTCAATTTTACAAGTCGCTATAATTCAGATAGCCAAACAAAATTTCCTTAAGTCAAACAAGTTTTTCATAAAATTGATTGGGCCTGAAAGTGGCCCTTATTAAGGTTTTGGATGGAGTAGATATGGATCACAAAAAATGAAGCTGAAGCCCAAATTACCCAACTTTGAATTTTCGCACACTTTTGGTCTGTGAATTAAATTTTGCAATTCCT